ACAGAAGAACAAGTGTCTAACCCTGCCTGAACCTATCAAGGTAGAATACACAAAAGAGAAAAGGCCTGAGCTTAAAGGATTTCCCCGATGTGAATTAACCCACTTGCCTTGGAAGACAGCAACAGCTACAGTAAATTTTGGACAATTGTTCATCTCTCTACCAACTATAATTGTCTTTGTTGTTAGAACAGGGCTGAGTGACATATAGCAGATGCTTAGTAAGTGGAGGTGGAATATATGAGTGAGTAGACAAACAAATGATGGGGGTTGGCTGTAACACTACAACCTCCCCCTTCAGTGCACACTGAGGGAGCACAAAGCTGGAGGTGCCAGGTCACTGCACAGGGACATATGTGGGCAGACAGCAGGGGGCAGCCACACCAACCTCTTCCCAGAGAGACATTCTGACAGGCTGATGCCAGGGGCCTGGGCAAGTGCACACACGTGGCCCACACAATGCTGCCTTTGAGCTGTGTGTGGAATGTGGCCCCTGCATGGTATGTGCTCTAAAGAGCCTCCAGTGTCCACTGGGCAGACAGATGGCACTGGCCCAGGTAGTCTAGCTCTGTGTCCACAGCAATAAAAATACCATCCGCAGCCACACTGGGCAGGGCTGGAGACATACCAAGGGAGGAGGCAGCACGTGATGAAGGTTGAATAAGAAGCCACTGTCAGGTCTGACCACAGCAGAGGACAACTGCAGGAGCCACCATCCTTCCCCAAAGAAGGCAGCCCTGTTCTACAGTAAGAGTAATAAATGTGTGACCTGAGCAACTAGCTCACCTTCCCTCTATTAATTAGGTGTAAAGTTTTCCTACTTGGTTATAAGGATTTAAAGAGTTTAGGTACAAAAATGCTTACCCCGGTGTTGGCAAAGAATAGGTGCCCGATAAATATTAGTCCTATTTTTAACAGTTTGTATTTTATAGAGCAGTTTTAGGTTCACAGCAAAATTCAGAGGAAGGCAGAGATTTCCCATATAACCCCTACCCCCCACACATGCATGGCCTCTCCCATCACCAACATCCTTCCCAGAGTGGTACATTTGTTACAACTGATGAACCTACGTTGACACATCACTATCACCCAAAGTCCATTGTTTACATTAGGGTTCACTCTTGGTGTACATTCTATGGGTTTAGACAATGTATAATGACATGTACCCAGCACTGTAGTACCATATGGAGTAGTTTCACTGCCCTAAAAATTCTCTGGGCTCCACCTATTCATCTCTCCCTCCCCACTAACCCTTAACAACCACTTATCCTTTTATTGTTTCCATAGCTATGCCTTTTTATCAGTTTTATTTTTGGTCTGCCTTCTTACTCAAAAAAATAAAATATGGTTCCAAACTAATTATCACCAGGGGTTTCTCAGAGCTGAAAAGAGATGAGAGATACATGGAGAAATAGCAAACCCACTTGTGCTTCTCCCTTATGGCATCCCAGGGTAAAAAACCCAGCTCTGCTACTTACTAACTGCTACCTTCAGCAGGTGACCAGATCTCTCCACTCTGTTTCTTCATTTGTGTAGTGGGGATAGTTAACAGTGGTGGGGACTAACAGCTCTTTGAAAAGCATAAAATTCATTGCAAGTTTGCTCATTCATTTATTGAGTGAGTCCACTCTTTTAAGCCTCTGGTGGGATACCATGAGCTCATTGTGGTACAGCAACAATTCTAGGAGGCAGAAACTGAGCAATGGTGATATTCAAGGTAATAAGGGACAAAGCTAGATTTGGACTAGGATGTGTCTGGCTCCAAAGCCTCAGTTTATTCCATTACTAGCAAGTAACCTACATGTTGAACAAAGCAGCAAGTTCTGTGCTTATAACAGTACAAAGCAATAACTTTTCAGCCCTGCCCCAGTGAGTCACAGAGAAGGTCATATGTGAGTTTGGTCTTCGCAGTAGATGCTATTGGTACCCTTGGCCCAGGCCCAGGAGCCCTCTACCTGGTGGGTGTGCCCAGTCCCCAGCTGCTATATTGGCTGCTAATTGCTCATGGCTATACCCTTTTCCAGAGAATTGCCTGCAGCAGACAGAAACCATCTGGCCTGACAGTGCCTGAGATGCTATGCACTTCTCCCAGCCCCCAAAATCCCAAGAGCAACCTTCAGCCAATACCTGGCTGATTCAGAGTAGAAAGGGCTGCCCCCCTAGCTTCAAAGGTGCTCTGCACCCTCCAGAGCTCTCTAGAGGATCAGACGGAGGCTAGACTTCAGGTGAAACCCCCTCTTTGGCTTCATCCACTGCCTTATTCCATGTCCCTTGCTTCCTTACAGGTATTTCTTCTATAAGCACTTCCGCAGTAAGCCCATGCCTAACTGTTCCCATCTCAGGCTCTGCTTCTAGGAACCTGACACAAGACAATCTTGAGGAATGAGTGGATATGTTTTTTTAATTAAGAAAAAAAGGGGAGGGCATTTCAGTAAGATGGAATGTCTTCAATTAAAAAAAACTTAAAACTACTGAAACTTGTGTCAGCCACAGCAGTATGCACTGGGAGAGAGAGAATCAGCAATCCAAAATGCCTTAAACCTCAAGGGGCAGGAGGGGTTTGTAGATTCTGTAGAATGGGGGGTTTTATAAGGAAAGATCTAATCAGGATGGCACTTGAGAAAGATGTCCCTTGTCCTAGCAGGACCATGGGAAGGTAATTGGATTGGCAGAGGAAGACTAGAGGCAGGAAAATTGGATGTAAGATGGTGTTATCACCAAATGATTTAATTAGAGTCAGGAAGTATGTTGAATGAGAAAGAAGCATAACATTAGAGAAAAATAAGTAACTAAAAATGTGAAACATTTGTTAATAATATTTTTCAAACTTTAATGTAATCTGTTCCCAATGGCTTTCTCTCTTTCCAATGAGCATTTATTCCATGTCTCAGGGTACAAATAATCCTAAACCCCATCACCTGGTAGACCCCTGCATGCCACGCCCTGTGCTGGGCACTGACCTCTGCCCTTGGAGCCCCCACAGTCTGATGCCTGTGCCAGGGACAGCTGCTTCCAAGATCAAAAACAAGCCAGAAATAATCTTTTCCTTTTCATGTCAGCTCTCCCCCAATCTATAATGATATTTCTCATTTGATGTACTTTAATCCAATGTGTCACTGATGAATAGTGTAATTTGGGCAAGACTAGAGAATCCTCATAATCCAGTGTTTGTATAACGGTTAGTACAATTTGAAGACCATGGACTCCAGCATCAGAAAGACCTGGGATCCCATTCCAGCTCCATATTTTCCTGGCTGTTTGCACTAAGCAAATACTTTAACCTCTCTGAACCTTGTTTTCTCATCTTAAAAATTGAGGACTATAATATCTATCCCTAAAAGTATTTAAGGGAATTAAATAGGACAAGAGAAACAGAGTGCATAGAATAGTGCCTGGCTCAAAGTAGATGTTCAATGAATGAAAGCAATTGTATTACCATTATTTAAATCCTGCTGCATTTTTTAAGTGATTTTTAAATGTGAATCCAGGGGAGACATTGATATCCAACTGTCTTTCTCATCTGGCTGTTCATCTCCTGATCTGCCAATCACCTGTGCCATTTGAAGGATGACTATTGAAAACAGATGTTGTTTTGTGCCATGACGACTGGTATGTGGTTTCAGGACAATTATTGGCTCAAGTGGGTCAGGTGGCATCTGAAAAATGCATAGGAAATATGTATCCTGGCATAGTATTCTGAGAAGTGAGCCTTTGTTCCCTCCACTGCTTTACTTTCAAAGCAAGGAGGTGACATCTGTCCACATTCCACCTGCCTGTGATGCCAGAGAGATACAGCCAATGGGTGGGGCTCCATGTTAGAAGAGCCTAGTGTCCAAGCTACACTCAAAGGCCAGGAATTTAGGGGAAAGTGGAGGTGATTGCCTACCCTACTGTCCTGCAAGGCCTCCTCCAGACCTGCTGCAAGAAGAGACAGAAACCAAGGAGGCCATTACTGCAGTTCCCTTCTCCTGTCAGGAATCCAGTCCTAGGCCTCAACATCTCTGCCAGTTTAGCTCTAAGGAAGCCAGCATCTGAAATCTCAAGGCCATGGGCCATTCCTCTAAACCCCCCTTATCCAGTCACTCCCCAAAGTCCTACTGAAGAGACTTCTTATGTTTCATTAAGCAACCACACTTCCTTTTATCTTACCTGAACCATGGAGACAGCCTTCTGAGGTCTCTCCCAAAGACTTATAGGGGGAAATACCTGCAAACCACCTCCTACCCCTGACACCAGAGCCCTCCTTATGAACCTTCCGGAAAGCTATAAATGTCTGTATCTTGATCTAGGCAATGGATGTATACATAAGTAAAAATTTATTCAGTACATAGAAGATTGTTAGTGTCCTTTGTGCACTTTATCATATATATGTTATTCCTCATTGGAAAAAAGTTTTTAAAATTGTCATTTGAAGCTCTGTATGTATACTTGTGATAAACACATTTTGAAGAATAAAAGCCAGAGCAAAATAAAAACAAACAAACAAAAAACCATAAACATTGCCCTTAAGCTTAGTGATTTCAGAAAAAGGGAATCAAACTTGATGGGAAGACCACCACACAGATGTGAAGGGAACTGGACTCACATCCCAGCAATTAAAGTTTTTAAAATAAAATAAAATATTAAAATGGCAGACTCTGTACTAAGCCCTGCAAATTGATTCTAGCCTGGACTTTACTCCTGGCTTAGTGGAAGGAGGCTGTCTTTCTGTACCCGGGCAATGGGACACCATGTGCTTAAAATGCAGTTGGCCATGCTTTGTCATGTACCTGTTCCCCCAGCTCAAGATAATCTGGAAGTACCTGCTCCTGTGGTTCATGGGGCAATCTCCACAGCTTTCAGCCATACCCAAATGTCAGTATAGACAGGGGTCATGTGGCTATGAGTCAAATATTTCCAAAATTTATTATTGGACTTGCAGGATTACACTGATTGCCATTCATGGAACAGACCACATTATAAAGTAGTAAGTTTCCCATTGAGTGAGGACTACAAATACTTACAAGATATCGTTGAGGAGTGGACCACAGTCTGAAGAAGAATCATTTTCTTCTCAAGGAGCTGGCATTTTATGGCCTCATGATGCTGTGTGAGAAAGTCAAGGAGGGAAATAGAACCACGACAGGGTGAGAACCTGACCCTGTGTTCCACTGACCATCATTCCATCAAACTTCTCTTTTATACCAGGGGGTTGGAATGAGGCAAACATTTTGATGCAGAGTAGGTTGATGAAAAAAATTTCACATTCATAGAACAAGCTCACATTCCCAAATGTTTGCTTGTACCCAAGCAGGAACACCAAAATGAATGCAAGTTAGTGTCACGTGGTGGGAGAACTGTGAGCTGGGAGTCGGGCCTTTTCCTAATCTTGGCTCTGACATCTCAGTTTTATCTGCTATAAAATAAAGCAATGGGACTAGATTACTTTTTCCAAACTTCAAATGTGAGCACCATCTTCAGTATGTTTACCATATTCGCATATGCTTGCTATATTGTGATTTTTGTCATATCTACATATCACCTGCACGATTTACATAATATTTTTGGTTAAAGTCTCACTTTTTTTCCTTGAAATTGACTTTAAAAGGAAACTTGATAGAATTACCATGACTGGAAACCACTGTCACTTGCCGAACAGAGGCAGCCATAAATGTAAATACAATAAAAACAGAACAATGCTTTTAATTATCTCTGGAAAGTGCTGCCTGTTGAGGACTGGCTGCCTAAGATCTGCTGTATTTCGTTGAAGCAGGGAGGTCAGTAAATGGTAGAAGTCTTAAGGACATTCCAGCATCCCTAAGATTTTACCCTTGAATAATCAAAAAGATTGATAGAGAACTTAAAAGGGAATCACTTTTCACTATATACACAAAGTTAATGTTCTATCTTTATAACTTAAATTATTTCAATACTCCTATGTGTTTTAGGAAACAATCAATAACTTTTAAAGTCTACTTCTATAGTAATATCCCATTTGGGACTTACTATAGAGAGAGATGATCATAATTCATGGAAAATCTGAGTTATAGACTATTCTGAGAGAAATGACTTTTAATATCCAAACAGAAATGTTGTCAGAACATCTTTCAATTAGAAGGACTTTGAACATACATTAATAAACAGATAGAAAGGATTTGTGATTTTCATGGTCCTTGTTTATTTTCAAATAAACACTTCTAAATGATTTGGCAGTGCCTAAAAAATTGTTCATCCTCTTGAGTAATTTAAACACTCTCCCCTGAAACCTTGTTTACATCATCATTTTGCTTAATGAAGCATTTTGTCAGGCACTATGCAAAAATAAATTTAACCAGAACCTATATCGTCAAATTAACACAAATTCCAGATTAGTGAAGTTCAAATGAATCATGATATTAGGGAAATTATTACAAAAACTTGTTGGATTCAAACTGCAATGCCTTCATAACAAGACTCTACAAGAGACTCATTTCCTTGGAAACATTTAGACATAAAAATATACTTGTCCTATTTGGACAAATGAGGATAGGAAATGCCCCTCAAATATCTCTGAATGATATTAGAATAATTGATATGTATAGCCTGTGGACTGTAGCAGAATATTCACTCATCTTGATTTTCTTTCCTAAGTTTTTGTCCTATTGCTTTTTCTAATTTTTTATGTGATCTTGACCAAGTTCCTTTCTCTTTCTGGAATTAATATCGCACATTTGTTTTAAAAAGGGGCTGGGGTTGGACTAAAGTAGGAGTCAGCAAACTTTTTCTGTGAAGGACCAGATAGTAAATATTTTCAGTTTCATAGGCCATATGGTCTCTGTTGCAACTCAGTCATTGTAGCAAGAAAGCAGCCGCAGGCAATATGTAAAAAAAAAAAAAAAATGAGCATGGCTATGTCCCAATAAAACTTTACTTACAAAAGCAGGTAGTAGGCAAGATTTGGCCCATAGACACATAATTTTCCTTTCTTGGACTAGAAGATCTCTAACTTCTAGCCCTGACATTGTCTTTGTGATGAAAGGAAGAGAATTGCCCAAAGCCTGCCATTTGACAGAGCTGGGATTAAAACTATGGTCTCTGAATTTTAAATTCAGAAGTCATTTCTCCACAGCAGACTGTCTAATCAATCAAGAAACCTATAGCTACAATACAGGGCATCAAGTGCCTCCATAGAGAATGGGAAGAATTATTAATCCCATACCCATGATTAAGGTAGCATTAAATTCCCCCCTCCCCCTTGCCAAGAAATGTATCAGATTGGAAGAGAAAAACTCAAGGAGGCCAGTTGGGGGTTGGAGGCGAGATTTGGATATTGATCAAAGTCCTGAACTGAAAAGGGAACAATTTCTTCACTTCACATGTGCACAGCACTACATGGTTTATAACAAAGCACTTTCATATGTGGTATTTGATTTGTCACGACATCCCTGTGAGGTGGGACTGTAAGGCTCTGAGTAACTACTTAGTAAGTGGCATCAGAGGCAGGAAACAACTTCATTTCATTTATTCATTTGTCCATTCATCCGTTTAGACAAATATCTGCCAGACAATCAACAAGGCAGGAGATGAGCACTAAAAATGAGGCACATTGTCCCTGTCCTCATGGAGCTTACAGTCCAGAGGGGTAAGAGACAACAAACAAAAAAAGAAACCATTAACTAAACCACTATGAACAGTACTAAGAAGGTGCTAAGAGAAGACAAATATGGTGAAAGGATAGAGGACTGAGGGTGGGGAGCTTCCCCAGGTTAGAGGTCAGGAGAAGCTTCTGAAGAAGAGTTTGTAGTTGAGCCAGGAAGGATGAGAAGAAGCCATGTGAAGAGGGGAACCTAATGGGTTCCAGGAACTGAAAGAAAGAGCCTAGGGCTTGGATTCAAAGAACTGGCACCCAAGGTCATGCCACAACTGTGAGCCCCAGGTCCATTATGGGCAGAATGAAAGGGATAGAGCCAGACTACTGGGGACCAGGCCATCTCCTCTTTGTAAAGGACATAAGATCAGGAACAAGCTACTTAACCATCTTATGACTCAGTTACCTGCCCTGAAAACCAGAATGACAATAATGATACCCACCTTTTGGGTAGGTGGTAGAAAGGTTTAATGAGATCATCCTGTAAAGCATTAAGCACAGAGACTAGTATCCAGTAAGTGCTCAATAAACATGGATTGTTGTGAGAAATAGAAAGACAATGAGAGGAAAGGAAACTTTTTTTTTTTAAAGGGGTTGTAAAATGGGGCATCGATGTTTTCATTACAAGCCTTTTAACACATCTTGACAATGTACAGTATATCATTTTCATAAAAATAAAACATAAATTTAAAAATTTTTCATGTACCCACATGGAAAGAATACACTTCCCTTTCCTTCTCTTTACCTGTCATCAAAGCCAATGAGTCTTTATGACCTCTCCTTTTTCTCTCCATCTCTGCTACCACAGCCACTCCAGCCCAAGCCACCTTCATCTCCTGCCTGGAGGATCCCACAGGCCTTCTCCTGGTTTTCCCAGTTAGACTATAAACATCATGAAGGCCATGTATGCGCATGATTTTATACTACAGTGTTTGCTCAATAAGCATAAACAAATTAATAAATGGCTTCTAAGGGAACAAACATATTTCAAAGTTCTTATGGGGCCCTAACTATCTGCCTCCTGGCCCCTGCAGAAAGAAGCAGGGATAGGTAACAGAGTGAGAATGGAGGAGTGATTCTCCATTCCCCTTTTGCTTCGAAGAGGAAGAGGATTACTGAAGGCTGCTGAGACATGCCTGGAGAGCCTCTACCAAGAGATCTGTGCTCCAGGACTGGAAGGCACCTCTGTGTACCGCCTGCATGCTGGGCTGTAGCCTGGGAAGAAGGCCTGAAGCTGCTCAGCTGGGGGCTGTGGCTGGTTACCCCAGGTTCGATCTTGCAGAATTTGGGAAAGAATGGGATGGAAAGAAACGGAATGTTGGTTTTGCCCCTGTATTAGTTTCTTATGGCTGTTGTAACAAATTATTATAAACTCAGTGGCTAAAAACAAAACAAATTAATCATCTTACAGTTCTGGAGGTCAGAAGTCCAAAATGAGTTTCAATAGGCTAAAATCAAGGTATAGGGACGGGGCTGCATTCTTTTCTGGAGGCTACAAAGGAAAATCCTTTCCTTGCCTCTTCCAGCTTCTGGGGACTGCCCACATTCCCTGCCTAATAACTGCCTCCTGTCTCCAAAGCCAGCCACAGCTGCTCAAATCCTTCTCAGCTACTTCACTCTGACCATTGGAAACATTTTTTAAACTACTCTATACCCATGCTGTATGTGATTATTATCATTATCCTCACAGTCCTACTTTACAGACAAAGGATAAATATATTCCTTACTCAAAGTCACAGTATGATAAACAGTGAGACTGGGATTTAATTCAGGTCTGGGCGATTCCATAGATATAATTTACCTGGCCTCTTACTATCATCCAAGGAAACATTGGAGGCCTAGTTCTGCCCTACAGGGAAGACCACCTGCCCTACCCTGGTCACTCAGGAGCCCAGATCCTGGGGGGGGAGGGCACCACAGTTCTGTTCAGAATGAATAGGGAAGCCATCTCGGCATGTGAGTTGGGCTCCCTGTCCAAGCAGGATACAGAATCCAAGGGTCCGTCCCAGGCTCTGTCTGCCCATCTCAGTCTCCATCCATCCAACCCAGTCTCTGTCATCCCTCACGGTCTCCATCCATCTCTCACACTCTCTATCACAGTCTCTGTCCATCCATCATAGTCTCTGACAATCCACCCTAGTCTCCATCCACCCATCACTGTCTCTGTGCTTCACAGTCTCTGTCATTTGGAGATGGAGCCCCCAGGCAGTCAAGTAAACTACACACCTTCCCTCCCAGTATTTCCTGTGCTATTTATTCTATCTGTTGTACAAACAAAGATTCTAAGGCTCAGAAAACTGAAACGACCAGCTTGGAAGTCACGCAAATGGGAGATGGCAGATCCAAATTCAAACCCCAATCAGCCTGATTCAAAATATACATTATTTGGCATTTTGTCAGGAAGCTTCTGCTTAAGTGATAGAAAACACTTGAAGTAGTACATGGCATTTGGGGGACTTCATATTTTAATGAACAGGATGATACAGGAGAGAAAAAGAGAAGAGAGGAGAGAAGAGGGTAGAGTAGGTGGAATGGAGCACAACGCATTTTCCCTCACACAGCACATGAATTGGACTAATACAGAAGTTGTAGTCTAATAAATTATATTATTGGTTTTTTTCCCCTTTCTACTTCCCTTCCTTACTTTTAGTTCCAACTACCTATCCCATAAAGGTACTCTTATGAACTTCCCTAAAGATGCTTAAAAATTAACTGAATCTTCAAAAAAAATCCACAAAGAACCACCGCTTACTGAGTATCTACTATAAGCTAGGCACTATACAAGATATTTTCTTAACATTGTCTCATTTAATCTCAAAATACCTCTGCCAGGAGGACAACATTACCTCCACCATAGACGAGGAAATGAAGTCCAGACAGGTTAGAGTCCCTCAGTCACAGAGAAAAGGCCAGAGCAGAGATTTGCCCCTGGATCTAATTCTAAAGCTCTTGTTCTCTTGTACTGTTAGGCTGCCTCTCAAGAAATGAATGGGGTTTGCTTCAGTTAAGGAGTAACCATGACCTGGTCACAAGGGAGGTGAATCCTCATCCAGATGCCCCTCCAGAGCACCATCTGGTGACCACCTGGGAAAGCTGTACACCAGTGCTGCTCAAAATGTGGTACCCCAAGTGGCAACAGTGACATCACCTGGGGGCTGGTGAGAAATCACATCCTTGGGTCCCACCCAGACCCACTGACTCAGTATATATGAAGACAGGGCACAGAATCTGTGTTGGTAAGCTCTCCAGGGGATTCTGATGCCCACTAAACTTTAAAAACCTCTGCTATACACAGCATCTGTGTGTGACTGGCAGCAAGGAGCATTATTGGCCAACTATAGATTTGGAAAATTAGATATGGAAAAGGAATGCCTCTTCCTCCAAGGACTCAAGAATTCCTTGTGGAATGGAAAATTGAACCCAGAAAGCTTCACTTCAGGTTCAATTCCCATAATTAGGAATTCATCCATCTTTGCAGTCAGGAAGAATAGAGGCTGAAACTGGCAAATGAGAATTTTCAATACAAAGCCAGTCCCACCTTAGGAAATTGTGGAGCCCCACTGTACCTTCAGTTCATGATGGGACTTCTATCTCTGGTCAGTTAGTGAATCTAAGCCCCCAACAAACCAGGACTTGCTTTTCTCTCTGTGGTTTATTGCTCATTTGCATCCATTCTTACAGTAAATACTGAAAACAAAAGTACTCTTCCCAGTTTCCATCTTGGCAGCCCTTTTGCTTTGAGTATATTGATTGCCTTGGGACTGATGCTACAAAGTATGGATTACAGATGCTTAAAGAACAGTTATTAACTCCAAGGGGGAAAAAAGTTGTGAAATCAAGTAGATATTTAAATCTGATCCTGTGATTAATAATGCCTTGCCTTCTTTTTCTTAAATCAACCTTAAATGTGTATTCAAAAAATATCTGACTTCACTTTATTTTGGAAATGCTTTAACATTGAAAAGCAATGGCCCATAATCTCAGCACATTAACATAATTATTTTCATTTCTGCCCATTTTGCTTCAGGCCTTGTTTTCATTATTCATATACAATTTTGCATGGTTGCAATTACACAGTAGAAGTAATGTTTAACTCTTGCCTTTTTTCCTGGTAAAAGTTTCAGCCTAAGTGAGTTCCTGCATTATCTCCATGATGATCATTTTCAATTTCTGGACAATGGACTCATGAGTTGGCATACCACTTATGCATGCCACAGTGAGTCAGGGAGTATTTATTGAGCTCCTACTGTGTGTCAGATGCAATTCTAGGCCCCAGGGAATCTAGCGGTGAAGAAGACAAAGTCTCTGCTCTGGAGACTGCGGCAGCTTACAACTCCAGGAGATGCCATTCACACTCTTGTCTACATGAATGGCACCCCTGGAGCTGGCATCACACAGCCTATGTGGCTCACACTGGAAAGTTACTTCCTTAGGGCAGATTCCTTTCATTCCTTTAGGGGTCAGGTAAATGTAACTAAAAGCCAGGGGCATTACATCTAGGGATATATACATCTTCATGGCTGTTGCTATCATATTACTACATTGTTCTCCTAAGGCATTATACCAGTTTTCATTGCTAGCAGAGATAGTAAATGTGTCATTTTCAACAGAAGCTCATCAGCATTGGGTGTTAATATTTTTTTTCAAACATTTGCCAGTTGAGTTGGTTCATGACATTACCTGAAGACAAGCTATGGATTTAAAAATGCATGCTCCCTAGAGCTTATTCATCCTTCAGAGGTTTCCTTCCACATACAGGATGACATTGTTAAGGACTAAATGTTTATGCCCATCTCTCCCAAATTCAAATGTTGAAATCCTAACCCCAATGTGATGGTATCAGGAGGCGCTTTTGGGAGGTGATTAGGTCATGAGAATGGAGCTCTCATGAATGGGATTAGGGCCTTTATAAAAAGACACAAGAAATTTGTTTCCTCTCTCTCTCTCTGTTTTCCACCACATTGGGATATAACAAGAAGGCCATCTGCTAACCAAAAAACAAACCCTCACCAGACACTGAATCTGCCAGCACCTCAATCTTGGACTTCCCAGCCTCCAAAACTACAATAAATATTTGTTGTTAAGCTATCCAATCTATGGCATTCTGTTACATTAATAGCATCCCAAGCTAAAATTGACACTTCAAACATCAGAGTTAAAAATAGGACACTGATATATTTGAATGGTCTTCCTAGAGCTAAAAGCAGAAGAAGGCTTATCCACCAGGGGTTAAAAGTTTTCTCTGAGGAACAATCTGGACCCTTGTCTTGTGTTGGGTATGAAAAGGGAGGAGAGAGTGGGTGCAGCCTCCTCCAACAATCCCCATTATCTCAGCAGCACTCTGCTCCTCAGAAGCTGGCTCTCCTCTCCCATGATTAGCTCCCCATCCCCTCAGGATCCCCCAAGACACTTCCTCACTGGGCAGGTCTTTCCCTACTCCAACAGGCAGGGCTGAAGATTCCCCTACTCCTCCCTCCTTGCTGGAGCATACCTTGATGGAGGCCCTTTGCTGCAGGAATAGTCAACTTGCCTTTTCACCTGGGTCTTCCCTATAGACCCTGAAAGCCAGCAGCACCTGTCCTCCACTGCCTTGTGTCCCCAAGAGTGGCATATGCCTAGCTCACAATAGGTGCTCAAAAGATGTTTGCATGGCCTAGTGAGGCAGAAGGGTCAGAAAGAGGATAAATATTTTGGCAGATGGATAATAGAAGATAAGTCATAGTCACCACCTTGATGTGATCCTTGGCAATCTGGTCCTTCGGGAATCACCAATGAATTCTAGATCCCTAAGGGACATGAGCAGATCTTATATGTTTCCCATTTAATCCCAATCACTCTTTCCCTTTTATTTTCAGATATCCTTAATTCATACTCTGCCCAAAAATTCTTCAAATTCTCCCATTATTGTGTTTCATTTTTTAACCCAACCCTAACCCTACACATTTCAGAACAGAAAAATATATTTCATTGTTCTTGTGCTTCAAAATGAAAGAAATAAAAGTAGTGTCATATTTTGTGAGTAGCTTGCTGTAATACCTTCTTCTCAATCTTCAAAAACAACCCTGAGCAGTAGGTGGTATTATTATCCCATTTTGCAGGTAGGGAAGTGAAACTCAGAGAAGTTAACTGCCTGAAGTCACGCAGCCATAAATGGCAGGCAGGATGCAAACCCTGGCAGGCTCTGCCCCAGGTCATTGACTCTTTGCTCTGTATTCCTGCTGCAGTTAATAGCAAATGCCCAACAACTGTCAGAAAGCTGAGTTCTTCTTTAGCTTGGCCACTGACTTCCACAAGAATACTCATCAGCACTGTCTTCATGGCATGCTGTCCTGCACTTAGCAAATGGAAGTAAATGCTAATGCTATTCCAACATCAAAGAACTATAAAAAAGAAGAATCGTGGGCCCCAAAGCCAAGCAGGAGTTCAGAGTCTTTGATGTGTCCTTGTGTTGCTCCTCAGAACAGCTTGTTCCAAGGCATAATGTCTACTTTTAGAAAGCCCCAACATGGCTCCTAGGGCTAGGTTGCCACAACATCCATAAATCACAGTGACAGTCATGTTTATAATATGTCCGTCTGCTCTTCGTAACTGGAATTCACATAATTCAGGTGAGTTGGAGAATCTGACTTGTGAGCATAACCTCTGGATTTGAAAGTGGAAAAATGTCAGTGTTGGAAGAGTTTTTGAAAGAACTCAGCCGAATCCTATTGTTTCACCTGTAAAGGAACTGAAGTCCAAGGTCCTAGCCCCACTCTGATCCTCAGTCTCCTCATGTGAGAGAAGGTTGAACTCACTCCTCCTGGAAGGCTCTTCCTAATTTAACCATCTACAAGACTACAGGCTCAAACTCAGTTCTCTGGATTGGGTCTCAGAGCTCAGGGGATATGCCAGAAACAATAAACAAAGAAGCCGAAAATGTTTCTTCTAAGACAGGAAAAGGAAGGAGCCACAGCATATTTGGGGGCCACAGATGGCCCTCCTTGGTTGCGTAAAATATCCTTGATCAAGACCAGTTTTACTTTCCTTCCCACAACTAATCCAAGCCACTGGAAGAAAACACATGCTGTCTGCCAAGGGTGTTATGTGTATACAGAACAGAGTGAAGGCTAAGCTTCAGGTACCCAGGTAACAGACCTGGTATCCTTAATGAATATCAGCAAGAGACAAACAAAAAGGTGCCAACTTTTTACTAGCAGGCTACATTGTCTTAATTTTAATGACAGTGATTTAAATAGAAAAGGAATGCAGGAACGGGTCATGTATCAATCTTAAATAATATTTTTTTTATTTTAGCATATTATGGGGGTACAAATTTTAAGGTTTCAAATAATGCCCTTGCTCCCCATCCCCCCACAAGTCTGAGCCTCAAGCATGACAATCCCCCAGACGGTGCACGTCTCACTCATTATGTATGTATATACCTGCCCCCTTCCCACCTGCCCATTACCCAATTAATGTAGTTCCTATGTGTCCACTTAGGTGCTGCTCAGTTAATACCAATTTGCTGGTGAGTATATATGGTACTTGATTTTCCATTCTTGAGATACTTCACTTAGTAGTATGGGTTCCAGCTCTATCCAGGAAAATACAAGATGTGCTAGATCACCATTGTTTCTTAAAGCTGAATAGTACTCCATGGTATACATATACCACATTTTATTAATCCACTCACAAATTGATGGGCACTTGGGTTGTTTCCACAGCTTTGCAATTATGAATTGTGCTGCTATAAACATTTGAGTGCAGGTGTCTTTTTCATAGAGTGACTTTTGTTCTTTTGGGTAGATGCCCAGTAATTGGATTGCTGGATCAAATGGTAGATCCACTTGTATCGCTTTAAGGTATCTCCATATTGCCTTCCATAGAGGTTGTTTGGAGTCCCACCAGCAGTGTAAGGAGTGTTCCTATCTCTCCGCATCCACGCCAACATCTATTATTTTGGGACGTTTTGATGAAGGCCATTCTCACTGGAGTTAAGTGATATCTTATTGTGGTTTTGATTTGCATTTCCCTGATGATTAGAGATGTTGAGCATTTTTTCATATGTTTATTAGCCATTATTCTGTCTTCTTTAGAAAAGTTTCTGTTCATGTCCTTTGCCCACTTTTTGATAGGGTTGTTTGATTTTGTCTTGCTGATTTTCATGAGTTCTAAGTAATTCTAGTTATCACCCCTTTATCAGATGTGCAGGATGCGAAAATTTTCTCCCATTCTATAGGTTGTCTGTTTACTTTCATGACACTTTCTTTGGCTGTGCAGAAGCTTTTAGTTTGATCATGTTCCATTTATTTATTTTTGTTGCTGCTGTGATTGCCTTTGGGGTCTTCTTCATAAATTCTTTGCCTGGGCCGATATCTAAGAGAATGTTTCCAACATTTTCCTCTAGAATTCTAACAGTTTCATACCTTAGGTTTAAGTCTATTATCCAGCGTGAGTTGATTTTTGTGAGAGGTGAAAGGTATGGGTCCTGCTTCAGCCTTCTACAAGTGGCTATCCAGTTTTCCCAGCACCATTTATTGAAAAGGGATTCTTTTCCCCAGTATATGTTTTTGTCTGCTTTGTCAAAAATTAGATGGCTAAATTAAACTTAAAGTTGTCCAGGTTGAATTGTGCAGACTGGCTTTAAATATGGAGATGAAAAAAAAGTCAGTTATGGAGCTCGCACGCCTCCTAGTGGCAGAGATGGATTACTGCCGGTTCTACCCACTTGGAGCACTCAGCCCCGCCAAGTTTCACTGTGACACAGTCAATTCACATCAGTTAGGAGCCTTCCACGTACCAGGCTCTGGGCTATGTGCCATCATGTACTTAGTCTCATTAATGTTCACATTAGGTGACTCTCATTTAACCTATTTTATAGACAATGAAAGAGAAGCTCAAAAAGCTTAAGTCACCAGTCCAGAGTCACTGAGCTGGAAAAGATTCCAACCAAGACCTAGGGATTTCCCAGTCCAGGGCTCTTTCCCTAACATCACAATGAGTACAAAGTGCTGAGAGTACAGAGATGAATAAGACCGAGAACCTGTTGGGCTGTTTGATCTTACCGTGTTCACATATTTTAACTGGCCAGGCAGACTCATATTAAATAATCAGAACACAAAGTCCTAAGTCCTGTTTGCACAGGGGTAGGAACTGAGCGTAGTTCCTGTGCTCAGGTATCCCAGTCCTCCCCACCCTAGGGCATCCCTGACAAACACCTCCATGCCTGGGGGAGCAGGGTGCTGGTGTGGGGAGCAGTGCATTGTTAGTGAGGCCAGCTTGAGGAACTGCCTGCATCCAGCCTGACACCTATGTAAGAAATGTGGCTCCAGGATGAATAGCTATAAAAACAGACATCATTAACCAGCCCAAACCTTCAAATGTTCCAAGTCAAGGTAGAGTCAAAAGAGAGTTAACAAGGCTTCCAATTTGTCTTTTACAGGGTCTGATTTGTCAGGTCAAGGAAGATACAGAATCCTGTGGGAACTCGGCACACAGAAAGTCAGGCTGTTATTTTGGCTTGTTTATGGGGCTGACAGGTTAAGAAATGACTGTGGCCAAAGAAGACCTGGGCATCTATTTTTGCAAGGTACCAGGGTTCTATTCTCTTTTTGACACTGGTAACTAAACATCCCACGAGACAGAAAAACAGTCACAGATTTTTTCACATGCCAGCCTTTTACATACATATAAATTATGTGGTGGAGTTTTTTCTTCTTTTGTTGATGCATATAAATGCAATTTTATAGAAATAACAACACAACTTTGTATACTAGGTTGCAAACTGCCTTTTTTCATGTATACTGTGAATAATTTCTCATATTACTTATTCTTCTACCTCATTGTTTGATAATTGCCTGGAATTCCGATTTATAGACTCAACTAATTTAAAAATATATAACTATTTAATTATTTAATAAAAATATAAAATAAAATTCATGTGGCTTCAAATTTTCATAAAAATTCTTAAATCTAAGTCCTTGCTACATTTTTATTTTTTACATTTAAATCTATGTATATTTTTCAAAATATTTAACCAGTAGCTCCACATCTTTTATTCACATAACATAAAGGTTAAGGGTACAAACTTTAATGTTAGGTCCAGGTTCCAACTCTAGTTGTGCAGCATACTAATGGAGTGACATCAGGCTGGGCAATGACTGTGCGTAAGCTTCATTCCTTTATAATAAATGAGTAATGATAGTCCATACTTCCCTGGGCTACTATAAGAAGTAAATAAAATAATGTATGGAAAGCCCTTCACTAATAGATAATGTTCAATAAATGTTAGTTATCTGTATCCCTTCCCTATTAACACAGGTTTGAAATGCACAGGTCCACAGATTTTTCAATAGATTACACCAAGTAAGCCTGCATCTTCTGCCTTTCCTGCCTCCCCTTCTACCTCCTTTACCTCTTCTGTCTCTAGCCCCCTTAGAAAACAAGACCAACCCTTCTCCTCCTCCTCTTCAGCCTAGTCAATGTGAAGATGATGATGAAAACCCTTATGATGATCCACTTCCACTTAATGAATAGTAAATATATCTTCTCTTCCTTATGATTTTCTTAATAACATTTTCTTTTCTCTAGCTTATTTTATT